CTGCCTCGGGCTGATGTGGGGGGGGACAGTTGTGGAACCAGCGCAGGTGCGAGACACTCCACAACTCAATGACCCACTTGTCTGCAATAGTAGCATTTGATTACCCCTGTAGATTGAGCAGAAGGGGTTTCAGTAGGGTTTGTTGGCAGCTAGAGAAAAAGTATAAGGAGAAAGAAGTGGCTGTTTTGAAACAAATTAGAGAGTTGAGAAGAGAATATCAATTTTTGGCAAAAATCTTGATTCAAAAAGAAATTAACTATAGATGGTTGGTCCCAGAAGGATTAATTTTTACATGGCAGCTCCAAAGATATAGGTTGAATACAATTGAGAAAGCAAGAGCTTTTTATGATGAATTCTTTAAAGAAAAAGAAGTAGTAATGGAAGGTGAAACACAAGCTGCAGTGATCCCAATTAAATTTACAGAAGAAGAATTGGCAATGCTTGAATCAACAGATGGTGCTGTCGATGGGGTCGTGGAACAAAAGGAACAACAAGAAGTAAGGTCAACTAGAGCAACAAAACCTACATATAAAGTATGAATATGGAAGAAAGGAAATTAATCTCAATAAATGTAAATGGATTAAATTCAGCTATCAAAAGAAGGAAAGAATTTCATCAATTAGAGAAATTAAAATTTGACATAATTTGCTTACAAGAAGTGCATATTAAAAAACAGCATGAACAACTATTGATACAACCAAAACTTGGAAAAATCTTTTTATCATTATCACAAAGCAAAAAGAGAGGAGTTGCTTTATATATTAAAATGTAATATTGGCGGAGCAAAAATATGCAGACGAAGAAGGTAGAATTCTGATGGTGAAATTAACTGATAATATGAAAATTCTTTTAGTAGCAATTTATGCTCCAAATGACAATCAAAGGGACTTTTACAGAAAATTACACAATAAAATAATTGAAATGGAATATAATAATATATGTATGATGGGAGACTTTAATGAAATTTTGGATGAAAGTATAGACTATAAAACACATAAAACAACAAGACACAATAGAAAGACATTACCGAAATCTTTCTTCAAGATGATAGAGGAAATAAATATGAAAGATGTATGGAGGGAGAGAAATGGAAAAAATAGACAATATACTTTCTATTCTGATAGATATTCATCTTGGTGCAGATTAGATATGATATGGACAACAATGGATTTGATGTTGAAAATAGAACATGTGAAAATAAAACCTAATTTATGGGCAAATCACAATCCGGTGATAGGAAAGGGCAGAAAAGAAGATCCAGATGGACTTTAAATACTACAATATTAAAAGAGAAAGACTTTGTACAGAAAATGGAAAGAGTTGGACTTTTTCTTTAAAGAAAACAAGAAGGAAGAAACACCGGCACAAAACCATTAGGATACAATGAAGGCACAAGAAAGAGATGATAGAGGAAGAAAAAGTGGCAAGATATTTACAGGATGCAAAACTACCTCGGATTCCCAAAGATACTGAAGAGATGCTGGAGGGGAGCATAACAATGATGGAATTAACAGAAGCGATCAAGAAACAGAAGAATGGAAAGGCACCAGGGCCAGATGGTTTATATCAGAGAAGAAAAAGAGATAAAAGGTATGAAAATACGAAAAGAAGAATACAAATTGCAAGCCTTTGCAGATGACCTGGTCTTTATTATTGAAGAACCATTAATAACAATAAATAAATTGATAGTTTTGTATTGCTTTCCATACTGATCTATATGAGCTCATACTTGGCTGAGGAAATAGGCCAGTTTGGTAGGCTTACCATCAAATATCGCTCTAAACCGTAGTGGCGGGGCCCTTGCTGGCAGAATTGCCATGGCAGGGCAGGGACCCGTTGGGGTGCTGTGGCGGCTGGCAGGGTAAATGCCAGTGGCTGAATTGGAACCTGCGGCGGTGGTGCTGCTGGCTGCTGGATCAGACCCCACAGCAGTGCTGGGATCATCGGAGCAAATTGGGCCAATGGTGATCCCGTAAGAGGGGAGGCAGACAGAGCTGGCGTCCACTGGCACTGGACCCATCCCCGGCCGGGATAGAATCCCCAGCCTGGGGGGATAAATTCCGCAGGGGGTAGCATGAAGGCAGGTTCACAAAGGTTGGATACAGGACGACATCCAGGCAATCATTCTTTCGGTCCCATCTCCAGAGTTGGATCAGGCTGGCAACTTTTCCCGGAATCCATCTCCCTGGACCGAGCGCCTAGGCTTTGCATCGCCTCTGCAGCTTCAAGGGCTCGTACCATGCCTTCAGAAGAATACCGGGTCTCGATAAACCCTCCAGTATGTGCTCCCATGGCTCCCTCTGCAATCCCCTCTCTCCCTTCCATCTTTGCTGAGTCTTCGCACCACCCAAGCTTTAGGTTGGTGCTGGGGCTCATCACCCCATTCAGCCCCCTTTCGGGGTATGCTTAGTTATTTAGGGGATTCGGGTTAATGTCAGGGTTCCAAGGAACACCCCCAATGAAATAAAGCTCTGAGACCTGAGGTTCCTCAAAGTTACAATGTATTAGAGATGTCATGTTGGCACATCTGGGAAAACCCGAATCAGAAAGCTTCCAGGTTTTCTCCACCCATCTAACAGTTCATAGCCCTGCCCCACACCCACAAGTTCATCACATTGTCCAATCAACTCTTCACACTCAACTGGTTACAATCTTCCGGCAGTCTCCATCAAATGCAGGCAAAAGTCCTTGAATACGGAATGTTGTTATGACTAACTTTCTACCGCTCCAACAACAACCCCCTCCCAACTTCCCCAGCTAAAATATGTGGCAGTTAAGAAGCAAAAAGAAAACTGTCTTCCAAAACTGACACTGTATCTACCATGGCCTGAGCCCTGCAATGGCCCTTTGAATGTAACTGCTGGCATATGAGCTGCAGCAGATGGTGAGAGGCTATTGATTTGCTGTCTAGGACTCACCAGAACTCATCTTCAAAACTGGCCTCAAATTTCTCCCCCAAAATTCTGTTTCCCCCTTTCCTAGGAGGTCCTTGTAAGGGATCCCCACATTGACCCTTATAGTTCGGAGGAAAGTGGATGAGGGTATGGGTTGGGTGGCAACCCACTTTGCAGTGGCATCTGTGTACTGGTTGCCTTTTGTGACCTGGGAGTCATCTTTTTGGTGAGCTCTGCAGTGGATGAAAGCCAGGGCTGAGGGCAGCTTGGTGGCTTGCAGTAGCTCAGAGACCAAGGTTACATGGGCGATAGTGGAAGTTAGGAAGCCCTGTTGTTTCCACAAAGCTACCATTGCATGGCAGATCCCAAATGCATATCTGGAATTGGTGCATATACTGCGTTTTCCTGAAAATAAGACCCTGTCTTATATTTTTTTTTGAACAACGAAATAAGTGCTTGGCCTTATTTTCGGGAGGTCTTATTATTTTGGGGTGCATGGAGCAAGACGGGGCTCTTGCCATCTTACCAGATTTCCAGCTCTGTCTCCCTAACCCTAACCAGAGGAAATGGCAGGGACTAGCTGCGCATGCAGTTAAATATTTTTGGGCAGGCCTTATTTTTGAGGGGGGTTTATTTTTGGGGAGAACTTATTTGGGGGGGCTTACTCTCAGGGGACATCTTATTTTTGGGGAAACACGGTATTAGCTGAGTGATTCCTTGCAGCTTCATTTTTGCCAAGGCTAGGAGTTCAGCTGCTTGGGTGCAGAAAGAGAAGGCAGTGGAGAAGCCCAAACAGTTTCATAAAGGGAAGTGACTGCAACTCCTGAAACTTGCTTCCCTTCATGTATATAGGGCAACCCATCGGTGAAGAATTCTGCATCTGGGTTAGCCACTGCTGGGTGAAAGCCTTGGTCTGGGACTTGAGAAGGATGGCATAGACATCGTGGGGGACCCTTAAAGTGAGTTGGCAGCCGAAGACCAAATCTCTTGATCATTTAACTATTTCCATGATCACCATTATGGCTCTTAAGCAATGGGCTGCTTTTTGGGGATCGTCTAAATCCTAAGCATGGCTTTTTTGTCACATTTTCTGGTAGGTGAAGGGTAGAGTCAATGGGGGTGTCTTATGATTCTTCCTGCATTACATAAGTAAAAATAAAATTAAAAACTGCCATGCAAAATTCTGTAATATATACAAAACTGCCAGAATCCATCTGTTTTTCATGGTTTAATTTAAATCTGTGCAACTCAGATCTGAAGCTCATGTGAACAAGCACTCAATCCTGGTTTTAAAAAAAATAAATTTGGAAGAGACGTAACAAACCTTAAAGAAAGCACCAGTTCCACAAATAAATGCATCTGCAGATGTAAGGTTTCTGGTGATTCTCACAATCCAAGCCAAAATGGCCATGGTGATGCCCCCAAACCAGAGCATACACAGCAGCATAAAATGCCTAAGAACTGAGTTCCTTCCAGTCCCTGCCCTCCACCATTGCTTCATTAAACCACACCAAGGAAGCTGGTCTACTGTGAACACTGGTTTGGGAGATGAGGGAAATACTACTTAAAACTACAATACCTAAGGGTGGCTTTAAGCTGGAGATGAGACAAAGGCAACTTCATGAGATCATGACAAATGACAGCGTGTTTGTTCTGCGATCAGAGGGAAAGAGCCCCAGCTCCCGACTCACTACAAAAATAGCGTTTGCTATTCAAGATGGATGGCTGTATTTTGTTCCCCAAAACGCGTTACTACCAAACCGGTAAAGCTTTCAAAGTTTAAAAAGCAAATGAGCTCGAAAAAAGAAAGCCGCGACGAGGTATGAAACAGAGCTGAACTCATGTTCTTCCCGTGGGTGTGGAGTGTGGAGGCTGCAGAGACAAGGAAGTCCCAATAAGACTTCTGTCGCCCGAGCCAGGGTCTTGAAGTACCCTTCTATACCACGGCATCAATACGGAACACCCTGTTTTCCGAGCACCATTTTAAAGCCACTAGGGATTCAATGCATTGAGCGACATCTTGGCGAGAGATCAGGCAGATAGCCACCACACCTAGATCCAAAGGCGGAAGTGAGTTCTTGTGTAACGCAGACGCGGACGCTTTACCTTTTCTCTTCAGGAGTTGAAGCGATGCTATCCTTCTTTGAGCCTGAAGAGGGCGCGTGAAATACGTTTCCTTTCGCCGCCCAGGTGCGCCTCTCAGCAAGCGAAGTCTTCAGTTCTCAGCAATCAGAACCACAGCTGCAGAATTCTTCTCCGGAAGGTTCTGTTGTTAGGACGAGCGGACTTACCTTTTCTACGCTCAGGAGCCGGCGCGGGTTTTCCCCCTCGAGCAGAAGCAATTCTCTGCTCCTCCCCATCTGTTGCGCGAAGGCGAGAGCAAGAGGAAGGCGCAAGAGTCGCAATCAGAGGCTGTTCAGTCACGATAGTAGTAGTCTACTACCGAGATTTTCTGAGACAGGGCAGCGCGAACTTGGGAACACCTCCATGCCAACAGATTTGCCAGGCAGGGAGGGAGGTCCAAGCTCTGGAAAAATGCAGGTGTGTTGCTCAGCCGACTTCTAGTTTTCACGGCCAGTAAGTAATTTTTCTTATTTTCCTCCGAACGTCGACGCGTAGGGAGAATGGGAGAGGGCCGCTTTTTGTCTTCCGGGACAGGTTCTTGCGATTTGAAGGCAGTAGCGTGCCTTTGGAAGGGAATTTTCCCAAAAAAAGGAGAAAGTGCATAAGCGCACCAACGTGCCTACCGTCCCTGTCCTACTGTTCCCATTTATTTCGTATCCTTATCCTGTATTCATAATATTTATACTTATATCTGTAACCTTATAGGTGTTTGACAAATAAATAAAATAAAAATAAATAAAAGTTAAAGTTGACGAGGAAGATCGTACTGTAAGTATTCATGCTCAATTGGTGTAATACTTTTAACACAGAAACCCATCCAGCACACTGCCCCCCCCCATCTTTTATGCTGTGCAGTTTAAATTCCTGCAACAAAGAAGAGTGAAGTAGGTATTTTCCTTTTCTAGTGATGGTGCTCAACCCTGAAATAAGTAGAAATTGAAAGTGCACTTGAGCGCATGCAGAGGCCACAAGCACCCCATTTTTGCAACAGGAACCTTAATCCAGTTCAGAGAGTGAGGTGATGTTTTCAGACAACCTGAATGAAGATTTTTGTTGTTAGAATTTAGCTTCTAGGTTTTCCCTTAATTTTAATAAAAATTGATTCTACTTTGAATTTTTTATCTGGTCAAACAAATGTGTCAATTAGTATTGAGAAAACTAGGATAAATATGGAACTCAAATTTGTGGACAATTGTCTCAGATAATGTTACTATTGCTATCTTTTTTAAGAATATATTTTTGTTAAAGACTACTAGCAAAAACTACTACCTTATATATTGCAGTAAATGGTCTGTATATCCATTTCAAGTTGACTGCTTTAATTTTTTGTTGACATCTTAAAGGGTGTGCAGTAAACAAAGAACTGGATGCCTCAGCTAAATGTGGTTTCCTTGTGTTTTGGTACATATAGATCCTTTTAATTGCTACAGAATGAATCATGTTCTGTTCTAACAGCGTTGGATTATTTTGCTTGAGAGTAAGAGTAGCATGTGAAAGCATTCATTATTCCTATCTTTGGTTCAGCAAAGAAGAAATTCCCATTTCTCAACACAACTGTGTGGTTGAGCTATCTCCACTAAAAATAGTTGTGTCTGAGTAGTCATAATGTGAACAATTTGTTTGCATTATTAATTTATGATAGCTCATCCAGGCATCACTGCTATTAAGACAGCATGTGTGAACAGTACTCAAGCCCTAACTGGAATTGAAATTGAAAAATGTCCTCTATTTTATAGAATTCTGGCAAGTCTTAGTTCGTGATTACTAACTCTGTATTTTTTTTAAAAAAAAAAACACTTTAATTTTAGCCAAGAAAAACTTTACAATCCAGTCAAGCAAACAGAAATTTATTTACCAGACAAATTGTATTTACATGAAAAGTAGCAGTGGCAGCTCAGCCATTTTTCTTCTGGAAGATGTTCCTTTTAATTTTAGCCACAGCATGCTACTATCCAATAATAAATTTATAATAAATTTGAAGATACCATTTCAGCAACTGGACTTTCTTGTTTTTTCTTTGAAGACGTTTCGCTTCTCATTCAAGAATGACCTGGATGACTGAGAATTTCTACAGACCCTTTCAGTATTAATGATTAGGCAGGAGAATGAAGATTGTACAAATGATCATACAGAGTTTTAACCAGAGGTGGTATTCAACAGGTTCTGACCAGTTCTGGAGAACCAGTAGCGGAAATTTTGAGTAGTTCAGAGAATCGGTAAATGCCACCTCTGATTGACCCTGCCCCCATCTATTCTCTGTCTCCTGAGTTCCAGCTGATCGGGAGGAAATGGGGATTTTGCAGTAACCTTCCCCTGGAGTGGGGAGGGAATGGAGAGTTTACAGTATACTTTCCCTGGAATGGGGTGGGAATGGAGATTTTACAGTATCCTTCCCCGCTACCCCCATCATGCCATGCCACACCCACCAAGCCACGCCCACAGGACCAGTAGTAAAAAAATTTGAATCCCACCACTGTTTGGTTTGGGCTGCTGCTGGGGCTTCTTGAGGAGATATTTCCTCTGGTCTCCCCTACCATCTATTCCTCTGTCAGCTGCCGACATCTCAAAGCTGCCAACTGGTGGGGTCCAGGTAGGCTCTGTTACAGTGGAGATTTGGTTTAATGTCAGCTGTCCAGTTGGCTTTTCCAGAAAAAGAAACTTATGGGACATACTTTTTCCAAGAGTATAATACTTTACTGAAAAAACTACAATGGCACAGAAGAAGCAAAACCAGCTCTAGATTTCCTGTGCAAACACGAGCATAGTTATTTCTCCCTTTCCCTCTGAGCCACACACTGTCCATTATGCTCGCCAATCACTTCTGTTCATTTTGTTATGAGAAAACAGCTAGCCATACTCCAAGACATTGAAAACTTCCAGAGAGGCCTCAGTTGCCTAGATACCATCCCTCCCACCTTCGCATTCCATTCCACCACTGCCCCCTTTCTTTGTCAAGATGTGAGCAAAGGAGAAAATGTAGGTGAAAGCCAAATCAGTTTTTGACAGCGATGAACTGCAGATAGAAATTGGCAAAGCCTAGGAAGCTCTGTAACTGCTTCTTAGTACAGGGAGGGGCTCACTCTAGCACTGCCATCACCTTTTCTGAATCCATTTCAACTACTACATTTGATATGTGGCAACCCAGGTAATCAATTCTATCTTGGTGAAATTAGAAATTAGAAATCAGGGCAGTGGGTACACATTTTCTACACACACTGCATTAAGTCCTCTATAGTCCTTGCATAGATGAAGAGTCTCATCTTTCTTTTCCCAGCTTCGCCGGTTGAATAAATCCATGTTTTAGGTTTTTTTCTATGGAGGTGCAAAGCTCATTTGGTTTGCATGGACTCATCGAGTAAAGTTTAGGCTTTAATTTCTGATTGGCAATCAGACAAATTAGCTATCAATAAACACATAGACATTAACAATATCTATAGACCAGGGTGATCTGTCCCCGTCCACACACACACACAAACACAGCCAGCCGAGGGTTAAGGAAGCACTTGGAACACACCCAGCTCTTTATCTCCAACTTGGCAGCGATATACACACCGTCTGCCAAGTGCTTTTATTTCCACAGAAAACAGAAAGATAATATACTCAGCGTACAAGAGTCCAACAGAATTAATATTCCTCTCAGCAGTTTCGGACGAGGCTTTAGTGACTATCCAAGGTTTATTTTTGTTTGTCACAGGGGTCACTGGCCACCACCCTCTATTATATAGTCTCTGGGGTGTGGTCCAGTGACTCAGTTCTAATCCCTAGCACGCCTCCTGAGCTGCTGCAATCGTTTATCACGCTTTCGGAGGCGTGCATCCAGGAATGACGTCTCTCCCTCACTCTCATCCGAGACACCTGTCTCCCAGCTAATCTCCTCTCCCTCAGCCGGCTCCTGAGACAGTGCCAGAGGGGAGGGGCCTGGAGAGGGAGGCCTGGCTGACTCCTCTTCCTCATGCTCGGAGCTTTCTTCCTCCGATGGGACAGGCTCAGAGGGCGGGGCCACAACACTATCCCCCACCGCAGGGCCCTTCCCCCGGGTCTGACGGTCGGGATGGGGTCGGGACGGGAACTGTTCGTGGAAAGCTCGCACCAGGTCAGGGGCCTGAACGGCAGACGCGTCCACCCAGGTGAAATCCTCGGGCCCGTACCCCTTCCAGGCGATGAGGTATTGGAAGCGCCCCTTCAGCCAACGGGAGTCCCGGATACTGTCCACCTCGTACGTTGAGGCATCGTCCTCGTTGGCTGCGGCTGGGGGGGGCAGGCGTTGGCGGGCGGCGGAGATGGCTCGCGGGGGCCTCAGGGACCAGGAGGGACCGATGAAAAATGGGGTGGAGCCGCATGGAGCCGGGTAGAGTCAATCGGTAGGCCACCGGGTTGATGACCGCCTCGATAGGGAAGGGACCGATAAAGCAGTGGGCCAGTTTCCTCACCGGCCGGTCCGTGGGGAGGTGTTTCGTGGACAGCCACACCTGATCTCCTACTTCCAGCAGTGGCATCACCCGGCGGGCGCGATCGGCGAACCGTTTATAATCCTCTTTCGCCCGGATCAGCTGCCGCTACACCAGTTGCTGCACCGCTTGCAGCTCCGAGAGGAAGTCCCAGGTCTCGGGAACAGGGGAGTCCATGATAGTCAACGGGAAAAGCCGTGGATGATATCCGACGTTGGCATGGAACGGGGTCATCTGGGTGGAGGTGTGTTGGGAGTTGTTAAAGGCGAACTCCGCCAGGGGAAGGTACTCGGCCCAGTTGTCCCGCTGCTGGTTGACAAAACCGGTTCCTGGACCGCGGCCAAGGAGTCCGCTGGCAGCACCGTCCGGGGGGAAAGGGAGTCCTTGGGGCAAAAGTATTCTGGCTTACGGGATAGCGCGTCCGCCCTCTGGTTGAGGTTGCTCGGAATGTATGTGACGTGGAAGTTGAACCGGGCGAAAAACAACGACCACCGGATCTGCCGCTGGTTCAACTTCCTGGCCGTGGTGAGGTGCTCCAGGTTCCGATGGTCCGTCCGCACCTCCACCTGGTGTCGGGCCCCCTCGAGGTGATGTCGCCAAGCCTCGAACGTGGCCTTGATAGCC